TGCTAAAAACTCCCAACACTCCAGATTCAAACTTTACATGCCACTTTCTTGCCAAAATTAATGGTTAAATTAAACTTCCTTTTACAAATTCTTTACAGAAATTCACCAAATTGGATACCTAATCATCCCAATGTTGTAAATCACGATTATTTAGTAGTGCTCTTCATTCTAATCTCTGCCATGTGAATTGGGAGAACCTTCATACACGAATTGATTTTGATCAGCTCATGTGTCAAAGTGATGACATGTAATGTGAAGGAAAGCACTACAGTATTTCCATAACATTTGTTTAAATAGCTTATATGAACATCATAAAATGTATCATTTAATGACTTTTTTTTTTTTCAGTGACATTACTAAAAAGTAGTACAGACCTTATTATTGAAGCTGCAAGAAATGGGCAAGAGATCAAATAGTGAATTAAGCAGTGTACATATCATCATTATATTGATTGAAGATGCTGCAGAACAAGAATCCATAGTAATGCCATTAGTAATCTTCATGAAAGTTAGTCAGATTGGACCCATATTCAACAGATGTTTTCCAATCTGTGAAGCTGATTTGATCTTTCCAATGACAACTTGAGCTTTTTTTTTTTTTTCCTTTTCCATTGAAGAGGTAAAGGGCTACTGATTTGGCCTTTTATTTTCTCCCTTAAGGAAAATGCAAGACTAAACTTCTTGACATAATTGAATACTTACAAGATAACATAATAGACACATAAATGTTAACCTCTGTATTGGATGTCTGTAGCAAGGTATTGGTAGCAGGAGAGCTGCAGGTGGTGGCCTCCCTGAGAAGAAGTCGGGACTGTCCATGGTAGACATAGCTGGCTTCAATGGCCCCACCACAGGGTAAAGTTGAGCCCATCAGCCAAATTATTTGTGCTTCTAAAAGCATTAAAGAGAGGGCAAAATACTACCTGTCAGAAGGAAGGGAATGGAAAATGGAAAATAAGAAGGGAGATGCTCCAATTACTGTAGCAGAGATTTAACTGCAGCCCATGTTGGAATACGTATTTCTCCGCAGCTTGTGGAGGGCCCTATGCCAGAGCGGGTGGATATTTCCTCCAGGAGCTGTTGCCTGTGAAATATCTGATGCTTTAGCAAATTTATCCTGAAGGACTGCAGCCCATGGAGAGGACACATGGTGGAAGAGGGGAAAAGACTGAGGAGGAGGGAGCAGCGCACAGGAGCTGGTGTGGACTGCCTACAACCTCCATTCCCCATCCCCTTGTACTCCTCAGGGCAGGACAGGGAGATGTAGAGGAGGCAAGAATGAAACAGTGAAGGGAATGAAGTTGATCCAGTGGAAAAAAAAAATGGGGAGAAGGCTTTGTTTTAATTTTTGTTTTTGTTTCTCACCTTCCAAAACTATTTAAATTGCAATAAATGAAATTGATTTTCTCCAAGCTGAGTATGTTTGGCTTGTGATAGTAATTGGTAAGTGATCTCCCTGTCTTTATTTAATCTGCAAGCTTTTCTATCTTATTTACCCCTGCTGTCCCCTTGATGAGGGGGAGTGAGAGAACAGCTGGGTGGGTGGGTGTCTGGCAGCCAGCCAAGGTCAATCCAACATTTAAAAGGCTTTTTAAAGTCTGTGTAAATTGTGGTTCTGATTACAATATGAGACTGTAATTTTGCTTTTGAATGAGCTTGCTCCTTCAGGCCCTTCTTTGGGGGAAGTTTTAAAAAATGTGCCTGGCATGCTGTTACAGTTCTATTCATTTTCACATCTGTGTAAGTGATCTGGTTTTGCAAAAGTAGTTTATATTGCATAATATTTATACATAAATATACTGCATGTTGATTCATTTATATTCTTTAGCTTTTTGTGTTTGAGTCATTAAATACATGGTAGATATAGTTTTGTCCCAAGTTGCTGCATTTAAGATTTATCATCTATTCAGTGCAGCTATTCATGCTGTTTTAGTATGCCTTTGCATTAAGCATCCATACCAAATAAATTTGCTCTTGAGCATTTTACTCTTTTATTAAATATTCATTAAATAGGAGGCATGGTAGTCATGCAGTCCACTGCTTAGTGTATTGAAACCCTAGAAAATGCATTGTTTGTAAATTTTTTAAAACAAAATGAGCCATGATTTTCCTCCTCTGCTGAAACATGTTAGGGTCCAGGGCCCAGGGCTCTTAGTCTAGTGTTGGGTTCTACACACAAGACTGACTGAGACTTTTTAAGATACGGAGAATGGGTACAACAAATTCTGTATGTCCTTAGGGTATATCTGCACTATGTCTCTTGACCTGCTGTTTCCGATGGACTTGGATGATAAATAGGTATTTTCTTGCTTCTGTGTTCTTGGCTATAAAAAAAAATAAAAATAATAATAATAAAAAAAAAAATGGACAGATTAAACAGACTGATTTTTGGCCTGTCACATAAGTAAAATCTAACTCACATTTCAATCAAGTTCGACAGGGGGTAAAATTTGTCCTAAGTGTAAAAAAATTATGCTTGATAAAAAGAAGTCTGGAAAAATGCCAAAGGTATTTTTAAAACCAGACTATTTTAACTGCTTTTTCTCCATAATAAGCATTAGTCAGAACTCCTGTAAGAATGTAATTTTTGTTCAGAATGGAACCTGTGGGGGGAAAAAAAAAAAGTCTTTCTCAGGATTGGTGTTCTCCTAAAGCTTGGGAGGGTGAGACAGCAGTTATGTTGTAACCCTTCAACATGCAACTGTTTATATTTCTAAGCCTATATTTATCTGAGTTCTTCCCTATCTTCCCTAGAAAGGTGATAGTGTTTGTCCATTGAGGTAGCAGTTCTCTGAATATTACAGACCATAGGAAGCCTGGGTAGGATGTAGCAACGTTTTCATGATACATATCACCTACTGCATATTTATGGTACATAAGGAATGGCCGATGTAGGAAGCAGTCTGTATATTGTGTATCATCATCGGCTTGTTAAAATAGAGGGAACATCACTTAATCTGGAACTCAAGATCACTAGAAGAACTAGGGTTTTTTGTTTGGTGGTTGTATCTTTTGAGAACAACGCTAGCAAAAGAGAGGGGAAAACCCTCCATAATGGTACTCAGAGAGGTGTTTGTTTATTTATTTTTTAAAGTATTTAATTACAAAATAGGCTTAGATTGGTAAATCCAGGTGTGAATTTCCTTTTACAAATTCTGGTAGTTTTATTTAGGGTAAGATACTTCTGAAGCCTAATTTAGTCATTATGTGGAGCTTATTAGATAAGTAGAGGCTACTAGACCATTTTAAATATATATTATATATATATTAATATATTTATAAGAATATTATTTTATTTATTACAATTTTATGTTTATACATATACATATAATGGCCTAATAGGATTTGCCTGCTGCTTTATTATAAAAAACAACTCCAAACAGCTGCATCAAACCAGTGAGATAGCACCTCAAAATAATGTTAGACCATTAATTTTTAATTTTTAATTAAAAAAAAAAAAGTTCAACAAAAATGTAATCACTGGAGTCCTATTTATCTGATTTTACAGTGCTGTACTATTGAAAGCAAAATAGGCATTGCAAATATCTAGCGCTTTTTATTTTTATTTTTTTTATTTTTTATTTTTTTTTGTCCAGTCTAGTGTAGGGGGACCTAAGCAGATGAGATAGAACAGCAGCAGACAGATATGCCTGGGGAATTTTCCAAAACCTATGTTCTCACACCTGCTTTTTGTCTGCTCTGTCATTAACTGTTCTCTTTTAAATTCATGCTGTTCTTATTTCCTTTATTCATGTATTTACGTTTGGGTCTTGTGCTGATGGTATTACAGACTGGTGTTTGCAACTATATTCTGGAGACTGAGTTTATAGCTCTTACATACTATGAAATTTGACATCCTCAGATTTTCATACCTGTATCCATCATTACACTACTCCAACATTTACAGATTTCCATTGAATTTTTACTACCATTTGTTATTAACTAAACATAAACAAATTCTGACTTTGCATATCTCCAAACACTGTACAAATTTTGTAAGGGTGGTATATATATTTGTCTGTAAGTACTGCAGAGAAAACATAATCTCCATATATGTTGTTACACTTTTCTGATGAGTCTGAGACTACACTTGTCCTTTTTGTGTTTCTTAATCACCTTTAGGATAATCTAAGAAATAACCTGTATGGCACATATGTGCTAGTAAAAGTACATCCCATTTATTTACTAGTTCATCTTAACTTGCTATTTGACATGGTACTAAATGTAGGTTTGGATGAGTTATATTCTTAAATAAATGTTTTGTAGTTATTCAAGACCTTAGGCCAAAGCACTTCAAGATATCTAGGTTGATTCCTTTTGAGACACTGTGATTTTAGTGAGGGTGAGGAAGGAAAAGATCCAGGTTTTGACTGAAATAACGTATTAATTTGCACATTCAGGTAAATGCTATGTGTTTAGATGAATTCCGGATCACATTGTTGATGCAGTATATTTTCTAAGTTTAATTGTACCCATAAAGGTTCTGTAAGAAAATACCATGTTCATAAAAAATCTTAGTTATCTTTTTTACTTCATGGATTTTATGTGTTTTAAATGATATAAGCACTTTTTGATATAGTGCTTACAGTAATACTGTTGAATTAGCTATATAGTTTAATAGCTATATAAAAATAATAAATGAAAACAGCTTTTTAGTAAGTGCCAATGATTTATTTATATATTTATTTATGTTTCCCCAGGAAAAGAAGAGTATATTGCAACGTTCAAGGGATCAGAATACTTCTGCTATGATTTATCTCAGAATCCCATACAAAGTAGCAGTGATGAAATAACTCTCTCATTTAAAACACTTCAGAGGAATGGACTGATGCTTCACACAGGAAAATCAGCTGATTATGTCAATCTTGCACTGAAAAATGGAGCTGTCTCCTTGGTCATTAATTTGGGCTCAGGGGCCTTTGAAGCACTGGTGGAACCTGTGAATGGGAAATTTAATGACAATGCCTGGCATGATGTGAAAGTAACCAGGAATCTGCGTCA